CAACTTGAGTCAGTCCCTCTAAGGTTGTCTCCATCTGCCCTATGAAATTCCTTCATAATGGAGATGAATTCCCTTTCCCACCTTAACTTCTCCCATTTATTCTGCTCCTCATCTATCTTTATACACACTTTACTATGGTAACATCAGACACCTTGCGGTGCTTGGAGTGGGTTCTCCCCCATATGATTTTAAACCCACTTTAAGTAAATTACTCAACTCTTTATTTCATTTTTAAAACTCTTATTAGCCATGCTAACACACAATAGCACAATATTAGTACAGCCCCAAAGCTGTGTGCTCATCACCACTGTCTAGCTCCAAAACATCAAGGTATCCATTGTGGAAGCCCCACACTCATTAAACAGCTTCCATCCCTCTCCTCCAAGTCCTTGGCAGCAATATTCTACTTTCAGGCTTCATGAATTTAACAGCTCTAGCTATTTCACATATATGGTCTATAGCTGTCCAATGCTGCAAACATCCAAGATAATCAACTTCGAGAGAAGAAAACTTTGTGAAGTCTCATGGTTCTGAAGACCTCCATCCATGGCTGGATGGCTTCCTTGCTTTTGAGTCTGTGTTGAGGCATTTTTACTCATGGTAGGTGTTCTGTTTTATAAAAAGATAAGGAGAGGGAGAGAGAATATGTTTGGTGGATGTGTAGCCAGGTATAGGAGAAGGGGGTGCCTCCATGGGCCCATGCTGAGGTGTCCCTTTCCCCTGAGGGACCAGCCATATAAAATAGAGTTTATCCAGGCATGGGGTGGGAAGTTAAGAGGGGAGTAGAGTCAGAAAAATACCAGAGATAGATAGTGAGTAGAGGAGTAGAGACTGGTCATGAGCATGTGGAGGGGTGGGGTGGAGAGAGGGGAGAAGGGATGAGAGAACAAAGTGAGAGCAAGAAGACGAGAGAGCAAAAGGGGGGGGGGACAAGCATCCCCTTTTATAGTGAGTCAGACACAGCTGGCTATTGCCAGGTAACTGTGGGGCAGAACTTAGGCAAATTGCAAAGAAAGAGGAAGAGGAAGGGCTAGTTCCCAGTATGCCTTCAAAGCCATGTCTCCAGTAACCTATGTCCTCCCTCAGAAGGTTCTACTCCCTGCTAAATGACACCAGTTTTGTTTTGTTTTGTATAGCTTATTGAGAGAATGGCCAATGGTTTATACAGCGGCTGCAACATTTCACATCTCTACCGTCATTGTTACACAACAGTGACCCAGTGACCGAGCCAGTCTTATGATCTCACACTGTTAAACGACACAGTAATTACTCAGTATTTGGAACCCTGCGGCTGTACTTATGACAATGAAGCAAAAGGTGGTGCTTGGTCCACAAGATAGTCTAAAGAATCCTGGTGATCTTACATGTCTTGATGCATCTGCTAGCAGTATTACCTCACCACATTACTTAACTTCCACGTGGCCAGTTTCCCTGTTTACAGCAGGTTATAATAGCACCTAGAGAGAAAGATTGTTTTGAAAAGCACATGGTTGCTATGTGTAATGAAGCGATCCTGAGTCCGGGTATGTGGCTCAGTTGGTGAAGCGCTTGCACAAAGATGAGGATTTGATTTGAACTCATATAAAAGTGTAGGGTATGGTGATATACTTGTAATCCCAGCACTGGAAGGCAGAATAGGAGGGCTTGATGGCCAGTCAGTCTAGCTGAATTCATGAATTAGAGAGTCAATGAGAGATTCTGTCCCAAAAAATAAGGTGGGAAGCAATTGAAAGACAGCTGATATCAACCTCTGGCCTCTACATGAATGTTTACATGAGTGTACAGACACAGGAACAAAAACACACACATACACACACACATGTATAAGACATACATATACATGAGGTAGTGGGAAAGGGCAGGAAGGAGGAGGAGGGGGAGGGAATGGGATGAGGAGAGAGGGAAAGAGAATAGCATAATAGTTCTTGATCAGATCAAGGCACTGTGTTAACTATTATTCCCTCCTCTTTCCACTTCCAAGGAAAACTTCTGCTCAATTGCCACGTTTCATCTTTGGTCTTTACTTCCCAGAATGCTCTGTTATACAAAGTCCTGAGCCTGTCCTGAGGCAGTGTTAGATGTCCTCTATTACTTCCTGAGTTTAACACTTCTGTGGTACTTAGCAGATTCGGTGCTCCCTCCCCTTTCATAGGTCTTACCTGTCTAACCTAGTATAGTGTTGGGCCCCAACACACTTAATTACTGTTAGTTGAATCAGTAAATGAATGAGCTGTAGTTAACTAGGGTGATGGTATATGGTAGGTTTGTTCAACCATAAGATATGAATGTACTCAAGGAGTAATGTGGACATGATGAAGCCATCGAGAGTGGCTGACTGTGTGATCTATTCTAAAAAAGTGGGTATATGATGTAGACTTCATACGTGAAGAAAAATAAGCTCAAGAGATGCTGATTTTTAAAGTCGATGACTAACATGTGTGCCGGCTCATGCCAGTAATTCTAGCATTTGGTAAACTGAGGCACGAAGACCCTGAGTTCTAAGACAGTCTGGGCTATAGCCCGGTGGACACGGAAGCTTTGTCTCCAAAACTAACCAGACCAAAGCAAAAGGAGACCCTGATATAATAACTATCTTGTGAGTATAGGAAAGGTTTACCTTGTCCTGCCCCTTCCTGTACTTCCTCCTGCTTCCTGGGTACTGGGAGGGAGCATCTCTGTTCTGTCATACCCTCCCTGTCTTGTTTCAGGCCTGGAACATCAGATTATGGGCTGAAACATGGAACCCAAGTAAACCTTCACTCCCCTTAAATAGTTTCTCTCAGCTCCTTGTAGCAGCGTAGACTCCAGCGCCACATGAACGTAAGAAAATGAGGAAGAGAAGATCAAGAGACAGACTGCTAAAGTTTTCATCTGTTCAGGGCCTTGTACTGGAAGGTTTATTCAGAAAACCAGTGTGATAACTAATGGTCAGGGGTTATTTCAGGAATGGCTTTGGACAAAGGCTGGGAACATAAAAAGTATAATGTGTGGGTCGAAGCCACAGCTTCAACCATGCTAGGCTAACTCTGCCAACTGAGTTATATCTAAAACCAAACTCCAGAACTTTACTTCATCCAATATAGTGACTGTGGCAGAACCTAATGGTTATATGAATTTCCTCCTTTTCTGGTCTCAAGAAAAGAACTGCCACTCGACGGTGGCCATATTTCATTGTCTTCTTCTTCTTCAGTGATTGAGTGGTGGTTAGAGTTTAGAAGGAGTTGTTATTTTGAGCTCCTCATGCAGATTGCAATAATTCACCTGGGAAGTATTTTTTAAAAAATCATTGGAGGAACCATAAAGTTCTCTCTTCCCTAGGGACCAGCTCTTGACATTCATGAGGAAGCATAGAAGATTGCTTTCTCTTGGAATTATGTACCATCACAAGATACCGCTTCCAGGTGGAGGCGAACGAACAGAGCTGCAGGTAGAAGCGCAGATCCTTGAGAAGACTCTATCCAGGCAAAATCTGCCTTGATTTATAGCATTTTGTACGCCTCTTTATCTGCTATTTCAGATCACACATTCCCTGGTCCCTGACACTGAAGGTATTTCTCTAGGAGTCGATTTATTGTGCCTCCTGGGCCCCAATAACTTCAGTTTCCTTAGAGCAATGCCACAGAAGAGTACAAAATGGGTTTGACATCTAGTAACCTGGACAGTTTAGCCTGTGGAAGAGTAACTTTAAGCTGCAGTCTCTCACAGTGGTGGTTAAAGACTAAGTGCTAACTAGCTGTGGCTGAGGTGCTGCGGCTAGGAGATCTAGCAGAAAGCTATGGCTCATCTGATGTGGCTCAGTGCTGAAGAGCACACCAGTTGCACCAGGTCCCTAGCAGGATGCCTGTAACCCACACCTGCCCTCCACACAGGGGATGCAGAGCTTAGTAGAACTGAAAACTAAGATCAGCTGATTGTTTCATGTCATAGACAGGGAGGGTCTCCTGTACCCAATCTTCCTGCCACCACAGGAAATTGTTGGTATCTCAGGCATGCACACCGTGCCTGGTTCATGAAGTGCTGGGAATCAGACCCGTGCTGGGTTTGTTTCCCGACCTAATCATAAGTGCTGGGCAAGCACTCTACCAATTTAGGTATATCCAGCCTTGATTTTTAATCTTTAACTGAGACAGTCTCAATGCTTTATGCTGCTGATTCTCCTGCCTCGGGCTGGCAACAGTGCTGAGTTTGCAGGTGTGCAGTACTACACTAGGCATGGCTGAGTTCTTTACAGATGGAGAAATGTCACTGTACAAACCCCATGAAGTCTGTCACGTTAAACGGTCAGTGTGGACAGTCAGTCTCAGATGATAACTCAGGCTAGTCTACATTCAAGTCACTCAGTAGTTGAGGGTGGCCTTGACTTCATAGCAATCCTCCTGTTCCAGTTTCCTAAATGCTAGGATTATCAGCAAGAGCACCATGCTCTAGGTAACAGGTTCAGACCATGTGACCACGTCTCAAATAGAGAGCTCATTCTTTTCACTTCCCTAAACTGAAGATAGGATCTGGGGCTAGAATTTTGGAAGATTTGAATTAGAATTAGTAACTACCCCTCTCTTACACAGTCAACTCTATTGTTTTGTTGTGGTTAAATCATCTGAAAACTCGGGAGCATCACAATGAGAACAAGGAACTGAAAAAATGGCTGGGTGTGGTGGTACCCACCTTTAACTTCAGCATTTCAGGCGCAGGAGGATCTTTCTGGGTTTGAGATTAGCCTGGTCTACATGGCCAGTACCAGGCCAGCACAGGCTACATCGTAAGTCCTTGTCTAAGAAAAGCAACAATAACAAGAACCAGGAAACTTAATATTGCAGAAAGATGACAAAAAGTGGCTCCTCCAAGTGTCTCTTTAGAAAACACAGGCACACTGAACATCAAAAGGAAACAGTTCTATTCGGAAGAGTCCGCCCTCTGTTCTTTGCGGTCTATGTTTTAGGCAGAGGCGACATTGGGGAGTGAGTGCTTCACACACATGTCTTGCTTTGTGCTCACACACACTTGGTTCTATCTCATCCAAGCAGATGTGATCTCCCCCAGTACTGAATCTAAATCTGCAGTTTAGCAGGGAAGTCATATGTGTATGCTCGAAAGCAGAACACAGATGTGATGATTTGAGGTGAACCTGGCCTCCAGGGGAAGCGGCAGCTAAACCTTCACAGGGGTTTCCAAGTATATCTGAGTAAGTAGACCGTGTTCATCTCTAAGGGCAGCTTTTACATTGAATGAGTGGGGGAGGTGGAGGGTATGATTGTGTTGAGAGAGAAGGCAGATATTCCAGGGAGAGGAGACAACACAAGACCCTAAGGTGGGAAGCGTATTTCCTTATCTAGGAAAATCCCCATGGCCATATAGGCAATCATCTACGTGAATTGTTATCAACCTAAGGATCTCAGTCATCAACTCCTATAATTACTGTGCAGCCTTCTGCTCTGCAAAGAAGGCCAGTGTTAAGCAGAACTTAGTCACTGTGTTGCCTTCTTCCTTTTGTTTCCTAGAATATCAACACTGTGAAATTTAATAAAAAATAAATGTCTTTATTTCCCTTCCCCCCATTGTACCTGGTAACCTCTGTTCTACTTTCTTTGACTGTGAATTTGCCTATGATTGATACCTAGTAAATGTGGAATTAGGTTTATTTCATTTACATAATATCTAACTTCATTTACATTGTGGTATGCATTAGGATTCTCTTCTTTTTGATGGGTGAATATTATTCCCTCTTACAGTCATACCATGTATTGTTTACACTCTTTATGGAGATCTGTTATGTTTCCTCACCCACTGGCTGGAACCTGTTGATGACAGCTGTTAAAAGAAAAAGTCTTTTGAAAAACGTTACATCCCACATTCTAATCCTGGAATAGATATTCTGACATAGGGAGGGTGGCCTTGATTGGAGCAACACAAGAACACAGACTCTAAATACTAGAGTCTTTCTGGCTGAGGCCAGAGGAGGCTCAGTAGAGTTAGAGTCTGTGTTCTGAAGGCATCCAAACTGGCTCTACATGAAAAACTCCAAGGAAATTGGAACTCAGTGCCCAGCTGCAAGGGTCTAGATGCTGACAAGAACCTAGATGAACCTAGAGAGGATTTGCACTCTGACCCTGTGCAAAGTTCCAAGTCTATGGACAACTCAATTTGACCTCTGAGCAGAGACTCCAGCCATGTTGAAACATGATAAACCAGTCACATCACACCTCACTCACTGACTTGGAGCCAGGAGTTAATGTATTAACATTGCTCAAGCATGTTAACATCGTTCAAGCCACTGAATTTAGGAGTCAGTATTTAGTTCTTCCAAACTCCAAATATATCAGTGGTCTGATGCCCAATATTCACTGTTCCTGAGGACTTCAACTGCAGCCATTGTCATTTGAGCACAGAAGTCATCAAAACGTGACTGTTCAAGGCTTAAATCTTAGCTGTTCTTAACTAAGGCTTAGGATGCAAAATGTCATTTGTTTACTGTTCTATCTATACATCCTGTGTCTTGATACTCAGAAGGCTGAGGCAGGAAAATCATGAGTTTGAGGTCTGTGTGGGCTACAAAATGAGTTTAAAAACCAGCATGACTAATTTATCAAGTCCTGGGGGTGTGGTTAAACAATAGAGTACTTGCTTGAGGATCTCAAGGCCCTGGGCTCGATTCCCAGTACCTTCAAGGGGAAAATCCTAGGCCTGGCTTTTCCTTAATTAAGAACAGCTAAGATTTAAGCCCAGAACACTCACCTTTTGATGACTTCTGCACTCAGATCATAAAGAATGGCTGCTGTTCTCAAGAGCAATGAGCTAGGGGCATCCAAGCATTCCTGTGTGTAGCGTTTGAAAGAATTAAGCAGAAGTAATCCTGTGTGCTAGCTGTTGAAGCCATTTGGCTCGGTGTGCTCCAAGTATGTCCACTTGATCCCCCATCTGGATTTTGGATAATTTAAGGAGATAGACAGGCTTCTGAGATTAGATGAGGTACCCTCACAGCTGTGATGATTAATATTGCTCACCCAATTAAAGGGATCTAGGATTGTCTAGGAAACAACCCCAGGCTTATCTATAAAGGAGTTACTTGATTGGGTTAAACTGAGGTGGGAGACCCACCCTGAGAATGGCTGTCACTCTTCTACAGGCTGGAGCCTGGGACTGAACAAAAAGGAGACCAGGCTGAGGCTGAGCACCGACACTCGACACTCTTGTCTTTATGCTTCCTGACTGCAGATGTCATGTGATCTGCTGCCACATGCTCCTTCTGCCATGACTTCCCACCATGATGCTCTGAACCCTCAAACGATATGCCTTCTTTCTTTTTAAAAAAATTATATATTTCTTTTTTTATTTTGTCATACATCACATCCTGAACATAATGTCCCCTTCCTCCCTCCCCTCACAACCCTGTCTCTTCCCAACCCCTCCCATTTCCCCAAGATCCCACGCCCCTTCGATTTCTGTTAGACAAAAACAACCCTCCCAGGGACTTCAAGCAAACATGGCATAACAAGCTACATAAGACCAGACTTAAACCATCACATCAAGACAGGACAGGCAACCCAGTAGGAGGAAAAAGGTCCCACAAGGAGGTAAAAGAGTCAGGGACAGCCCCTGTTCCCACTGTTAGGGTTCTCACAAAAACATCAAGCTATTCACCCAAGCATATATGAGAGGACCTAGGTCAGACCCCCCTATAGGGTCCCTGATCTCTGTGAGTCCCCATGAGTCCCAGTTAGTTGATTCTTTAGGCCATGTTCTTGTAATGTGCCTGACCCCTCTAGTTCCTCCAATCTTTCCTCTCCACTCTTTCGCAGGTCTCTCAGAGCACAGCCTAATGTTTGGCTGTAGTACTCTGTATCTGCTTCCATCTGTTACTATCTTTAATGATGTTTCTGCTAGAGCTTTTCTTCTTTAAGTTGCTTTTGTTTCAGCGGTGAGAAAAGAAAACCAAGACCACAGCTTAGACAGCAGTATACTCACTTTAACGGGAAAATGTCTTCTTCAGCTGACTACAGCCCGTAGTTAGAAATCCAGATTCAATATGGACATTAATCCTTATGCAAAGCAGCTATATTCCAGACTGAATAGTATAAGTTCATTAGCTTTAAATGTTAATATAGTAAATCGGATTGTTTTCTATTGTACATGAGCAATGAAAACCTACTTATGGAGGCAGGGAACCATTAAAGCAAAAAGCGACATCAGAGTCCATTTGATGTTTTTAGAAATTCCCCAAAGCTCAAACTGGGGGTGGGAAGCTTTGTGGTCAGTAACATACTTGACAAAGGTGCACAATCAGTATTGCCTAATGCAGTCACAGGAAACTGAGGTGAGAAAGGCCAAGATATTTGTTTAAGGTCACACAGTAGGTACTGGAACCATCAAGCACGATTCAAACCACACTGAGCATCTGATGGGCTGGTTCCTGGAAGAGGCTCCAATTGGTTTCCCCAGCCCCCTCCTCCACAGGAAGAGCTTGCTGGTAAGGCGGAGAGGAAATAGTGCTTTAGAGCCTTTTAGGTTGCTGATGTCGTCAGTAAACTCATCTTTAGTTTGCAAGCTCTGCCTTGAAGAGCAGCACCCTTCAGGACAGTACCCCACAGAACAGCAGGGTCTCTCTAGTGAGTCAAGTCTGGACTAAAGATAAAAGACAGCTGTCTTCCTGTGCTTGTGGGAGGAGTCGGAGCTCTCTGAGAGATAGTTTTCTCTCTTTTCAAATGGAATAACAGTCATGTCTTTCTCAGGGTCCTATGAAAGTTAAGCGAGATCCCTGTGGATAAAACGATGCGGATTTCACACGTGATACAGTGGGCATTTGTCTCCCTAGCACTGTGAACACCCTAAACTGACGTTCTACATGGTTGAACTTGTCGTACAGTCTTACACAGCAGTCCTTGAAAAAAAAAAAAAAAGCCCACTCTTAGGGAAAAAAATTAGATGACAATAACAACAAAAGGAGAAAGAAGAGAAAACCAAATCCATCACCAGCCTAGCCAGGACTGTCAGCATGTGACCTGTTTAGGAAGCACCGCATGCCTGTGCATGTCTTCAAAGCCAGAAACAGCTTACTGTAGGAGAGCCATGGGGCCAGGTATGGGCCTCTGATCCTTGAAACACTCTCTGATGCTGAGAAGGACACAGGAAGTTCAACCACTGACTTCTCAGAGGAAGCCTCAGTGCCGCTGCACAGCGTTGAAAGACAGAAGGAAGAGAAATAAGGTGAAGAACCTTAAACTCATCAGGGTCAAAGACACTAGAATCCAGAGCAATGTGAACAGGCTCAAGAACTCCCTCCAGATCATGGTGCCAAACTCTCTGCTGACAGTAGTTTTTGAAGCCCCCTGACAATTGCCCAGACAGAACTGACACTTGATAGTATATAATCTGCCTAATAAATTTGCTTGAAATTGTGACATTTTCAAAGTTTTTTTTCTAGTATCTTATTCTCAAATTAAGCTTTAAAGGGAGACTTCCCTTTGATTCGACTAAATCACAATAATTGGTTTTAAAGCAAATAGAAACACACTGATTACCAATTAAGCCAATGGATTGATACAAATGCGGTCTTGTGTATTTGTTTCTAAGCTTTGCCCTTCTCCCTGATACTCCATACTTACTTCTATCAATCTAGTGATTAGAAAAACAAAGTTCTGGTAAATGGTGGAAATGTTACACAAACAAGCGCCGTGGAGTGAAGCCCACATGTGCCAAGTATGGAGGCTCTGTTCATTTGAATGTGCTTGTCAGCAAGCAAGTGCAACAATTTTCATTATGAGCTTTTACTAACAATAAATACAGGCCCAGATTTAAGGGGAAACATGGCTTATTTCCTCTTCCCAGGGACCCCATTTGGCTGCATCTTCTGTCCATGACTCCCACATTCTGTTGCTGTGGTGAAAGCCAGCGACCTACAGAGTAATTAGTTTGGGTTTTGTCTACGCAGCACCCACATAAGCAATTGGAAAGTGAAAAATTCAGCCAAATCATCGGGCTTTGTGTGTGGCAGTTCCCGCATGACTTTAAATAGCCAGTTAGTGCTTTTCTGTTCGGTGAAAAGAAAAAAAAGGCATTTTCACTAATTGGTTCTTTCATCAGCATGTGGACCACATTGTCAATAATTGGCCTAGGAGGGGTGAGCATATTAGACTGTTGTTTTGCCATGGGATGGGGAAGAGAAGAGAAAGAGAGAAACACAGAAAGGAATTGGATCTGCAGCTGAATGGAGGAAGGACTGTGTAAAGGTGAGAAATGAAGGAACTCAGGCAGCATAGTGACTTAAGGTCCACCACAGGCAGCAGTCTTGTCTTTGCATTTATGCTCGGTCATCTGTTCTGCACACAGCACCAACTCTGGAGGGCATAGGCACCGCAGCACCCTACAAGGCTGGGTGAGGCACCATTGCCTGGGGTCATCCCTGAGTTTCTCATTCTACAATGGAGGCTGGGTTCAGTGCTTGTGTTTCTACAGATTGCTAGGTCTTGCTAGTGAACCTGCTCTCAGGGCTGTGCTCTGAGAACCAGTGACCCAGAGAAATTACTTTTAAGAAAAGGAACTGAGGAGCAAAGGCAAACATCAAGGCCACATGTCCTGGGGAGTAGAGCTGAGATCAAAACCCATCTCTCACCTGAGTGGTGCATGCCTTTAATCCCAGCACTCGGGAGGCAGAGGCAAGTAGATCTCTGAGTCCAAGGCGAGCCTGGTCTACAGAGTGGGTTCCAGGACAACCAGGGATACAAAGAAACCTTGTCGTGAAAAGTCAAAATAAATTAACAAAACAACAGCAACTCTCATCTATCTAATTCACAGCCCATTGCTTCTACCCCAGAGGGAACTGTGGGGGTTAAAAGGTACCTCAGTACACAGACACTGAGAATGTCACTGAGATCTACTCTGGGATCTGAGTCCATTCTTTGCCTCCTTGGTTTCTTACCCACCAAAATGTGAAGTGTTCTTGTCTCACAGGAACCCACCCTCATCCCTTTCTTTGGAATACTGCTATTTTGGTATGTGAACAGATGTGTGTTTTTTTCTAGTACAGTGGTCCCTTGCCATCCATTGGGGAATTGGTTGCAGATCCCCATAGATATCATCAAAACTGCAGATGCTCGGGCTTGTGTATAAAAAATGCTGTCACTTTGGCAAATAGTCTCCACATGATTTCTTGTATAATTTAAATACTCTCTAGATTATGCATAATGCCCAATTCAATATAAATACTTTGCAGACAGCAACACTGTTTTGTTTAAGAAATAACAGCAAGAAAAAAAATCTGTATACATCATTCCAGTCCAGATCAATTCTTTCTTTATACTATTTTTACATGAGGTTGTATCATCTGCAGATGTGGATGTCTAGAATATTGGAGCCCAGCTATATTTCATGAGTGGCTCTCCATGATGAGAGCATACTCAGTGCATGCCCTTCCTTCATGATGTGTAGAAACAGAGGTATCAGAGAAAAAGTAATCTGAGTCTTTGTTGTTACATCACCAAAGCCAAATTTAAGATGTTAAATAATAATGTAAAACTTGGTTTGAAGGTGGGGGCAGTAGCTCAGTCAGTAAATTGCTTGACTGAGTCTGATTCTCAAAACCTATGTATAAGAAGCAGAGCATGGTGGTTCATACTTGTAACCCAGTGCCACGGAAGTGGAGACAAGCAGATCACTGGGGCCCACTGGTCAGCCAACCTAGTCGACTTGGTGAGCTCCAGGCCAATAAAATAAATCATCTCTTAAAAGGCAAGATGGATGAGATAGGCGAAAGACAGCAAGACTGATGACTTCCATAGACTTGTTCACACATAGCATACACATGCCTGGACACACACACACACACACACACACACACACACACACACCTTTCAGCATCTACATATCAACTGCTTATTTCCTGCCTCCCCCCCCCTTACTACATGAAGACAGCTTAGTTAGTCAGACAGTAGAGTGAGCAAGAAAGAAGAACAATCGAGTGAACATGCTCTGGAAGAAGAGTTAGATTTGGAAAGGATCACCTGAAGTGAGTGTAGTCAGTACACAGTGACCATCCATCCACTATTCTTGCAGACCCAGGAGCTAGCACCAGCAAGACAAAGGAAGGGTCTTGGTGACCCAGACCACATCTTCAAAGTGACAGGTTAATGAGCTTCCCTCAATGACCATCTTTATTGTTAGCAGAAAGAGAGACCCCATTGTTCTCCTGCGTTCTTGCTCTCATCCCAACTCCACATACTAAGGAGCAGTAACTTCCATCCAATACCCCTAAGCCAGTAGCAGACCTTTCAAGCCCTCTGACAGCTGCAGGAATGGAGCTCTTTCCACCTCAGAATCCAAACTTTTCTGCCTTCACCAGACACACTGAACTGTCCAGTACATACTTCACATGTTACATGGCAACCAGCTGTTAGTGTGTGTCCACATCTGTGTATGGAGGGGATGCTGTGTGTGTGTCTATGTGTATGTATGTGTGTGTATGTGCCTCTGTATGTGTCTGTGTATGTCTGTATGTGTCTGTGTGTGTGTCTGTGTGTGTCTGTGTGTGTCTGTATGTGTGTATATGTGTGTGTCTGTGTGCGCCTGTGTGTGTCTGCATGTGTGTTTATCTGTATGTGTGTATGTGTGTGTATCTGTATGTGTGTATGTGTGTGTGTCTGTGTGTGCCTGTGTGTGTCTGCATGTGTGTGTATCTGTATGTGTGTATGTGTGTGTGTGTCTGTGTGTGTCTGTGTATCTGTGTGTGTCTATGTGTGCCTGTATATGTCTGCATGTGTGTGTATGTGTGTGTGTCTGTGTATGTGTGTATATATGTGTGTCTGTGTGTCTGTGTCTGTGTGTGTCTGTGTGTGTATGTATGTGTGTGTATGTATATATGTGTGTCTGTGTGTCTGTGTGTGTCTGTGTGTGTATGTATATGTGTGCATGTGTGTATGTATATGTATGTGTGTATGTATGTGTGTGTGTATATGTGTGCATGTGTGTATGTGTATGTATGTATGTATGTGTGTATGTATGTGTGTATGTATGTGTGTGTATGTGTGTGTATGTATGTGTATATATATGTGTGTGTGTGTGTGTGTGTGTAACTCAGAGGTTGATGCCAATGTTCTCCTCAACCACTCTCCACATTATCTTTTGAGTCATCATCTTTTGCTGAGCTCAGAACATGCTGATTCCGAGTGACTGGCAGGCCAGGGAACACTGGGATTCTATTCTTTCCCAGCAATGGAACCCGAATGGGCTCTGGGTCTGAACTCAGGACCTCATGCATGTGTGGAAAGCACACTGCTGACTGAGCCCTCTACCCAGATGGGTAACTAGGTTCTTTATATAATTGCTTTCCTCTTCAGACTCAGGTTTTCCAGAAGAGATCAAGCCCTATTCATCTTTTATACCCAGAGCACAGAACAGTGGCCAAGACACATAGATATTTAACACGTTCTTGCTCAATAGAAAAGCAAAACCAAACCAAACCCCAAACCCACAAAAAAGCACAAATTGAAACAAACGTATTTTAGTCATGGGTAGAATCATCTCATGGTGGTTTTAACTTGAATTTCCCTAATAACTAATGTTTAGTATCTTTCTGCGTGTTTATTTACTGTGCATATATTTCTTCAAAATGTCAGTTTGAGCTTCTGAAAATGTTAACCATCATTCTTACTATTTCCATATCAGTTTTCTCACAGCGACTTATAATTCCATTCCCAAGGGGATGTCCCATGCCGTTTCTGGCACCCATGGCCACCTACATGTATGTACATGTATGCACCAGGCTGGCTTTGAACTCACAGACATCTTCCTGCCTCTGCCATGTTTGGATTAAAAGTGTGCACTGCCATGGCTTCAGATACTTATTTTATCTTCTTTGATTCATGGTTTGTTTCCAAACGAATCAAGCTCCAGATCGCTGAGGGGGTTGTTAGTCCTGTGCTTTGCTCCTGCTGCCTTCTAATTTAATTCAATTGGAAAACTCTGATTAAATTTAATTGAAATAATATTCTGTGTAAAATTTCAATATTTTCAACTCTGCCTATGGTCTATCTTGGTGAAAACTCCCTAGGCACTTGAAAGGAGAGATGCAGAAATGTCAGTTAGGTCTCTATTTTTTTTTTCTGATTAATTTATCAGTCACTAGGAACCGTGTAAAGTCTACTATGGCTACATACACATATATGTATATATTTTTGTGTTTATGGTCTTATAAATGCAGGTGTGTGGGGGGAAGCATGTGTCTGTGTGCGTGTACATGTACATACATATATTTTCTTGTGAGTATTGAAGCCAGGGGACAACCTCAAGTACTGTCTACCTTTATTTTGAGACAGGGTTACTCTCTGGCCTGGCACTCACCAAGTAGGCTGATTTTGGCTGGTTAGAAGGCCTTAGAAAGTCACCTGTCTCTGCTTCCCCAGAA